AGGTACGTGTAAGGAACGGAGCTTGCCATAAGTGGCAATTAGGTCTAAAGTTGCATAGCAATGGTGTACAGTGTCGATGAGATGAATTAGACATTTGCAACATCTGCAGTCATCAGATTACAATGGTATCCGAGTTTCGTACATAATTCGTTCCAGTACTGAATGACTTTGTTTCCATAAGGAATAATGCAGATTAGATTTGTCCATTTCAAACCCCCCAAAAATGCACTTACAAAACCATTTATAATGATACACTTACATAATTGTTCGATTTGGGAGCTGTACAAAACTAATTGTTCGATTTGGGAGCTGTACAAAACTTGGGGTACCACTGTATATCCACGAATTGTAACGGTAAAGACACGGGAGAGTGAAACACGGTGATTCTCGCCCCGATGTTGCAAATGTGCCTAACACATTATATTGGTCAGGTCACAAGAACGCACTCATCCCACAATTCTTCCCATCAAACATCACAATCCTTGGGTGTGTCTCTTGCCTTAACTTGCCGCTGGTAAGTCGACTCTCCCATGAACCTCTTCTATATTATGTCCTTTGATGCAGTTGAAAATTGAAGAGTGAACAGAATGAGCCTCACAGTGACCAGTATTAAATTTTGAGTGCAATTTATCAATTGCACATGCAAGAATTCTCACTATATAGAGGAGCTTCATGAGAGTCGTTGATTACCAAACGTTTTCCACAATAAACTAGGCAGTATGTACAGATGCTTCTTGACTTATGATGGTTCAGCTGACGATATTTCGACTATGATGGTTTGGCTTATGTTCTGACTTTACAATGTTTCAACTTGGGATATTTCAACCTCACAATGGTGCAAAAACAGTTTCTTTGGAGATGAAGTTGTCAAAATTTAGATCTACGTTTGCTAGCGCTCTGAATGTAGATCTACGTTTTATTTTACATGCTTTAAAATGTAAAAAAAAAACCAGATCTACATTCAGAGCGCTATCAGTGCAAATGTAGGTCTACATTCGGACAGTTTAACCCTTAAATGGTCCAAACGTATATATACGTTTTTTCAACATCTGAAACTATGTAAAAAAATGTAGATCTTCTTTTGTAGCTACGAATTTGAATGTCGATCTGTTTGGACCGTTTAAGGGTTAAGGGTAAAGATTACGCAGCATGAAGACAGCAAGTCCCTAACTTGTATTCATTTATTGACTTTTCAATACTGGTATTTAGTTAGTAATTATTCAGTGACAGTAGTTATTATTTATTTTGCATACTATATTTGTATTCGACTTGTGATATTTTTGTCTTAAGATATTTTAACCTACAATTTTTTCAACTTAAAATATTTTGACTTATTATAGTTTCAACTTACGACGAGTTCATTGGAATGTAAGCCCATCGTAAGTCAAGGTGCACCAGTATATATGTATACATATGTATACATCATTACTGTATCACTATAGGTTAAAAGTTATGAACTCAGACACAGGAGAAGTGTGTGTGTATGGACCTAGGACTGGAGCCAGTCCATAGACACGCTTCTAGGCAACACACGGTCCATAGAGTGAGTTGTGACTGTGGTTCATGGCCCTTTAGAGTGCCATGAACCTCAGACACACTAGATATGTGGTTCCCTTCCCCCTCACCCCCCCTACAGGTGACAGGTCATGCACCCCTCCTAAGACAACCCCCCATCCTAAGGTTCGTTGAACACTAAATGCCTGGTTTGTAGCACATAAACAAGGAGAGTTAGGCAAGTTGTTTACTCGCTCTAAAATGCTACACTTGTAGACTTTTCTCTAGTGATCCAAATTGGTGTAAATTTTTTTTTTAATATACCCACTTCTCTGCTGTTGTGTGTTTTTTCAACTTCTCATAGCATTGTTATAAAGCAACTGACACCTCAATCATTCAAACGTACAAATTTATCATAGCATAAAAACTAGTTACTATTACTGATAATAATAATAATTTGTAAGTTCAGTAGTTATATCAGGGCTTAAGTTGCCCTCTAAGATTATTATTATTATAATCAAAAAGAAGCGCTAAGCCACAAGGACTATACAGATGCCCTCTAAGAGGATTTTGAAGCTGGAATTTAGTGAGAGGGAGTCGTTGGAAGGTGTTCTTGGGCCCCGGCACACTAGTGTTGACTCAGGTCGGGTCATCAATGTTATATTATGCATGAAAAGAATGTGTTGGACTTGGCTGAATTTGTTGGTTACTTTCAGTGCTGTACATTGTATACAGTCAGCTTTCTTATAAAGTTCCTCTATATACAGTCAGTTCTCTTAAAAGGCTTTATATAGAGTCAATTCTCTTATGAAGCGCTGCTATATACAGTCCTGTTATAAAGCTCCTCTATATACAGTCAGTTCTCTTAAAAGGCTTTATATAGAGTCAATTCTCTTATGAAGTGCTGCTATATACAGTCCTGTTATAAAGCTCCTCTGTATACAGTCAGTTCTCATAGAGTTGTGTTATTTGTGTTCACACTGTTCATTTTGTGTGTTCATTCTGTAGAGTTTTGGTGCAAAAAACTACTAGCATTGATTAATTCTGCACCGAATTGAAATTCACACTGTTCAGACTTGCATTAGTGGAGGCCTGGCTGTACTCTGTTATACTTGCTTCTCATTGGCTAGTCCAGCAGTAACTTGCTTCTCATTGACTTGTCCAGCAGTGCTTGCCACTCACTGGCTTGTCCAGCAGTGCTTGCCACTCACTGGCTTGTCCAACAGTGCTTGCCACTAACTGGCTTGTCCAGCAGTGCTTGCCACTCACTGGCTTGTCCAGCAGTGCTTGCCACTCACTGGCTTGTCCAGCAGTGCTTGCCACTCACTGGCTTGTCCAGCAGTGCTTGCCACTCACTGGCTTGTCCAACAGTGCTTGCTTCCCATTGGCTTATCCAGTGGTAACTTGCTATGTGTAAGATGGTAGAATGATTGAGGTTCAGAACATTCCCGACCAATAGAACCGCCTGCCCTCTTATCAACTCCCTTCCAAACCATTTTCTGTAGGTTACAATATAAATAAAGTGTTTCTATAATCTGTATTAATAAATGTGTATATATCATTAGGCCTAGATCATTTTTAACTCGTGTTAGCAGTAATTATTATTTGTTATATATCAACTATTTTCCAGTAATACTCTTAGTTGCAACTAACTAGAATTTATCTAATGAATTATATAATGTGAATATATCTATATATACAAATTTGTTTACAGTTTTATATTGAAAAATTATATTGAGTATATTTGGAAGATATAATGGTCTGTTTAGATGCAAAGCTTCTGATAGACATTGTGATAGGCATTAGTTAGTAATCTATTGAGATAGAAGATGTGTAGAACCACGGCGACCCCAGTGTAACAGTGTACTCTTGTTTTTCCATGCTCTCAGTTTGAAGAGGAAACCATCGGGGAATCCCATTCCCCAAAAACCAGATCGACTGAGGTAGGACATCTTGGCTCGACTCGTCATCAGGGGACATGCTCTCACCCCGGCTGGCTGCCACTCCGATGGGGCGCTCAAGGCTGGCGTGGCCCTGGAACCCAGGCAGTCTGATGTTCTGACTATCTGTGTGTCCCCGGAACTCGGATAGTCTGATGTTTGGGCTATCTTACATGTTAACAGAACGCAGATAGTCTGATGTTCGGATAATCTTGTATGTCCCCGGAATGCAGAGAGTTGGAACATTCAGACTATCTGACTGGAGAAAGCACAGTCGGCTCCCTATGAATGCCATTCTCTAGCACAATTATTTTTTTCATGAGTGCAGTTGAGTAAGTTTGACTGAACTTGAACACCCCCTCCGTTACTATGAAGGACTTTGCGCTTACTGTTCAATCTTGATTGCACTTTTTCCACTTGCGTTTGTAAGAGGATCGCACTAGAAGAGCTTTACGGGAGAGTTGACTGAGCTTCCAAATTGATTACAAATGTAATTGATGATTGACAGAAGTTGATAAACTGTTTGAGGATCAAGTCAATGATTTATTGGGTCAAATTTTGACTTTATAGAGCTTTACAAGGTCACTTTTCACTGTGTAGAGCTTTATTCAGGTCAAGAACCAGTTTTGTTCCAATAAAAATACTTCACTCACCTCTTGTAAAAAAAGATAATAGTTGCGTTTTAGTCCGGAGTGAAAATTTTGAATGCAATTTGTTGTGGCGTCAGCCGGGGTGAGTACTGTGTCCCCCTCCCCCAATGGGGTCTTCTTGATGCCAGTGAAGGACTCCGGATTCCGGGAATCAGAGTTTCCTCTGATTCAGGGGAATCGGCACTAGCCTATACCTCCTCCTGGCATCTGATTCAATTATTGGAGTCCTCTCAAAGACCCCCCATGGGGGGTCTTTTGACTATTCAGTGGACCTCAGTGGCTTTGCGGAGTTTTGTGCTGTTGGGAGTTTCCTTGGAGGGTTGGCAACCCTGCTGGGTTGCCAACATTGCTTGCATGATCTAGAGGGGAAGACTGCTTTTAGTAGTTATTGCCTAAGAGTTACAGTTCGCAGCACCAGAAATGGAGGAGTTAGACACGTGTGCAACAGTCGAGCATCTACTGTCGAAACGTTTGATCTGTGCACGGTGGCTAGGCTGCTTCAGTTAGATGGCACAAGCAGTGGAGAGGTAGAGGTGATGTGGTCAGTCCCTCGGTCATGAAGATAGTTCTTCAGCCTTGAATTTAGGAGATCAGTCCCTCAGCCTTGAAGGGGTATTCAGCTGCTTAGTCTTGACCAGTGACTGAAGAAGGCCACCGTTCAAGGTGAAATGTCTCGACACTAAACACTCACAAGCGTTGCACACGTTTGGCTCACTGACACATTCAATGTTGCCTGATGCTGCATGTGTGTTCAATGTGTGACTTCAGTGAACTTTCTCAAGCTTTTATTTCATTTATTGCTACAGGAATAAGGGTCTTTGAATGTCCTACTGTTTTCTTTATTATTTTCCAGCACTCAGGGGAAATTTGGTACTGGTGTGAGCACATGACAGTTCTCCATTGTTTTGCCCTACAGGTTACCTATGTATGGCAAATTGTCGCAGGCGAGGACGTACGGTTCAGCGTCATATAGCACCCCAGCCTACTCCGACCTCCCCAGGACTCCCTCCCTCTCCAGTGTCTCCTCCTCCCCACTCTCCTCTCTCTCCAAGACTCCCTCTCAAACCTCTCTCAAGTCCTCCAAGTCCGACATTAGTAAGCTTGGCAAGTCGAAGTCAGACTTGACCAAGTCGGAGTCACTAGGTAGCGTGTTTAAAGCCTCGCCCAAGATTGACCTCTCGAAAGTGTTGTCCAAGATAGACTGCGGCGACAAGTCCCTGTTAAAGAGGCCGTCCTCGGCCGCCTCCTTCGACCCAACAGATGATGCCAGTCCCCGGAGCCCCTCGGTCAAGAGCAACCCATTCCGTAAGCCTATAGCACCCACCCCCCTGAAGTCCACCAACTCCCGTAGGAGTGATTCGCAGGCCAAGTACGATCTCACATTTCCAGCCATTGTTGTCATCTTCTGCTAAACATTCAACTAACTACTGGATGCTGTATATATTTAAAGGGCTATAGTTATTTATTAATATGTTTTTCCCAGTCTTCCTACTACTGGTTGAGCCATGTGACAGAGGCCAGTTGGCCGGTTGGCCCTCGTGGAGAACACAATGCACTACAGACCAGAGCAATGACCCATGTAGTTCAGGGACAAAGATGTTACTGGTACAGCATTTCACTCTTTAATAGAAGAGTTCGGTCATGGCCTCTTTCTTTTATGCACATTTAAGAATGCCTACTAAATCATAAAGGCCTACCATTTAAGTAGGCTTTAAGTTACTAGGATTAAGTTTGCCTGAAAAGTGCTACTGGCGCTCTCTCATGCCTACCAATATCTTATTATAAGTAAACTACATTTTGTACCCCATAATATGATATAAATACATATTTGAATTTGAATTTTTACACACAGTGAAACGTTGTAGTAATATAAATCTTTGTTTTAATTAAGAACGAACACGTGCACACACACACACACACACACACACACGTACACACACGTACGTACATACATTGGGCCAACACGTGGCTCTCTGAAAGGCCTGTTCTATATACAGAGCAGTTTTCTGTATTTGCAGTTGAAAAAACCATACCACGGGTGGGATTTGAACCCGCGGTCAGAGAGTCTCAAAACTCCAGACCGTCGCGTTAGCCACTGGATCAGCTAGCCAGTGGCTAACGCGACGGTCTGGTGTTTTGAGACTCTGACCGCTGGTTCAAATCCCGCCCATGGTATGGTTTGTTTGCAATCGTGTCATTACGATTTCATTAGTCTTGCAGCTGAATGTGTTGAAAATTGAGTACCACGTTCCATGAAGACCTCTCCTGTGATATTCAGTTCTGGGTGAACTAATTCAGTCGCACTTACCATAATGAGCCTCTATATAGAAGTGTCCTTTAAGAGAAGTGACTGTACCCACAAGACTTTATAGTATAGTAGTAGTAGAAGTAGTAGTAGTGGTAGTAGTAGTAGTAGTGGTAGTAGTAGTACTGATGAGTGGGATATAATTGAGTGGAGTAGAATGCTTTCACTGTGTTCAAGCACCAGGTTGATGCTGCTATTGTCTAGTGTTCCTAGTGTTACTTTTATATGTAAATTATTTCTGATGGCCTTATGTGACGACTGTGTGGTGACTGTATGATGACTATGTGTAACGACTGTATGGCAACTGTGTGATGACTTTGTGTGATGACTGTGACGACTCTGTGATGACTGTAATGACTGTGTGTGACGACTGTGTGATGACTGTATGTGATTGTGTGAGATGACTATGTGTAATGAATGTGATGACTTTGATGACTGTGACTGATGACTGTGACAGCTGTGTGCAATTATGCAACGACTGTGTGACAGCTGTGTGTGATTGTGTGTGGCGACTGTGTGAGATGACTGTGTGTGACAACTGTGTGTAATGACTATGTTGAATGTGTGTGATGACTGCGTGTATGAAGGATTTCGGGACAACTATGAAAGCATACACACAACGCCCGTAGATGTACACGTACACACTGTCCACCGTATCAAACAGTACATCACTATAAGAGTACACACATACACACCGTCTATAAAGCAATAGATAATGACAGTTTTGCCTAAGTTCATTACTCTGAACTACAGCAATGTTGTGATGAGTAAAATAATTTGGTCTAATTCACCAGAATTTTGTATATGGTAAACCTGCAAATCCAAAATGTGGTCAGTGGGTTTCATAAAATATTTCTTTAATACGAAAATCATTGGTTAGGCCTAAAAAATGCTGGCCAGGCTGCATTCAGGTTAGATTAAACAATGCTAAAATCTGACAAATCTTGTGGCATGTGACTTGCCTAAGATATAAATTCTATTATAAAGCCAAGAGCTATATTGTAAAGTTATTATAAGGCTGTTCAGGCCTACATGGCTAATACTCTGCTTTATTATAAAGCTATTCAGGCCTACCTGTTTAATATGGCCACTCGCTTTAGAGCGCCGTACTAAAGCTTCACTATACAGTTATATTTGTTTGTTATTTTTGACGCTTGCCTCGACTTAAGATGATTTTTGGCAGCTTTCAATTTTATTATTTATACTTGTCCATCAGTTTTTTTTAGGCCTAGTGCTATTGGACACTAAATAAACACTTTTTAGGCTTCTGTATGCACTTGCAAGCAAAAAAAAGCTGCAGTAGGCTTTACGGCGGAGGTCTGGGTCTATTCCACCCTGTTATCTAAGTATGCGTATGTATATCATGTAATTTTTTTTTTGTTTTTTTTTTTGTTTTTTGTTTTTTTGTAAAATCAATTTAAGAAACCACTTCCAGAAATGCAAATGGGCCAAAGTGAATATTTTTGTTAGTGGTTTGAGGAGAACCTGCCTAGCATGGGCCAATAGGCATATGGCATTGTCATCTTCTTATGCATTAGGTAGGTCTGTGTGCATGCAGTTAATTTTTTGGGTGCAATTTTTAAAAAAAACAGGATTAATGGAGGAGCTTTAAGAGAGATGAGCATTATTTGTATACAGTAGAACTCCATTATTCGCAGATTCTGTTTCCACTGTTTCAGTTATCCTTGGTTTACCTTGGCCGAAAAATAGCCCTTAATTTTGGTTGATAATGACGAACACAAAAGTAGTGATGATGGAAGGTCTTCGAAGCCTAAGAGAAGCTGTGAAGTGCTTCATATTAGTGAAAAAATAATAATTCTCCACTTTATCATGGGTATACATGTAAATAAAAAATTGCATAGAGGCTTCGCCACTACCCGCTGTTTTGGGTATCCACGGTGGGTCTAGGAACATATCCCCCAACAGATACCACGGCACTACTGTAGTTTGCTTAATTAAAGCTTTTCTGTTGCATTGCTTTAACCCTTAAACGGTCCAAATAGATTGACGTTCAAATTTATTTTATTTTTTTTATTATCACATTGGCCGATTCCCACCAAGGCAGGGTGGCCCGAAAAAGAAAAACTTTCACCATCATTCACTCCATCACTGTCTTGCCAGAAGGGTGCTTTACACTACAGTTTTTAAACTGCAACATTAACACCCCTCCTTCAGAGTGCAGGCACTGTACTTCCCATCTCCAGGACTCAAGTCCGGCCTGCCGGTTTCCCCGAACCCCTTCATAAATGTTACTTTGCTCACACTCCAACAGCACGTCAAGTATTAAAAACCATTTGTCTCCATTCACTCCTATCAAACACGCTCACGCATGCCTGCTGGAAGTCCAAGCCCCTCGCACACAAAACCTCCTTTACCCCCTCCCTCCAACCTTTCCTAGGCCGACCCCTACCCCACCTTCCTTCCACTACAGACTGATACACTCTTGAAGTCATTCTGTTTCGCTCCATTCTCTCTACATGTCCGAACCACCTCAACAACCCTTCCTCAGCCCTCTGGACAACAGTTTTGGTAATCCCGCACCTCCTCCTAACTTCCCTACGAATTTGTAGGGTCCAAAAGTAGTTCTAGGTCTTTTTTACATATTTTCAAATATAACAAAAAAAAAAGTGTAGATAAAAGTTTTTTTTACACATTTTCAAATGTAAAAAAAAAAAGGTGATATACATTTTTTTACATACTTTCAAATGTTGAAAAAACGTATATATACGTTTGGACCGTTTAAGGGTTAAGAGAGCAGTTAAGTCAGACCACAGGAGTAGGCCTACCCTTGTAAACAACCCTAGTTCCTCTATATACAGTCAGTTCGAACTGGCACTGATGGACACCTGGTTGTCTGTATCTTGCTTGATACACAGTGGAGATGTTGCACCTGACTGCCTGGCCTTTATCAACATCTTGCAACATTGCTAAATATTGCTGAATGTTGTTGAATGTTGCTTAACACTGCACTATTGTAACATTTCTCCTGCACATAACACCAGCATTGCAATTGCTATTGCCCTTTGGTATGCAGCTTGCCATTGCAAGCTTTCACAGCATTACAATGCTACCTTAATTAGAATGTTAACCTTCTGCCCTCTTCCTGGTAGACATGATAGCCTCTGTGTTGTATGTGGTCAAAGTATGAATGAGAAGAGTAAAATGGGACCTGAATTGTGGCTCTGGCATGTGGCAGGCCCTGTAATGTAACCTGTCAGGACCTCTCAGAACCTGCCAGGACCTGTCAGAACCTGCCAAGACCTGTCAAGCTGTCAGAACCTGGCAGAACATGCCAAGACCTGTCATAGCCTGCCAGGACCTGTCAGAACCTGCCAGGACCTGTCAGAACCTGCCAGGACCTGTCAGAAGCTGCCATGACTTGTCAGAAGCTGCCAGGACTTGTCAGAACCTTCCAGGACCCATCAAAACGTGTCAGGACCTGTTGGCACCATGTTTCACATCCCTGTTCATTCTCTTACTTAACAACAGTTGTTGCCAACGACCGTCGTTGCTGTGTAAATGTATTGGGAAATAGTCATCTTAACCCTTTAACTGTCCAAACGTAGATCTACGTTTTTTTCAACATTTGAAAGTATGTAAAAAACGTAGATCTACTTTTGGAGCACTACGCATGTGAATGTAGATCTATGTTTGGACAGTTTAAGGGTTAATGGTGTTTCTTCTTCTATGTCTAATTAGTAGTTGTCTTCTGTGTGTAAATATGGACTTCATTAGTGGCTTTGCCTTAGATTAAAGTTAGAAATATTTTTGTTTTTGATTTTCCATGTCTTCAGAGTCAATGTATGTAAGTTTTTAAGTGTAAATTATTTTATAATTTATTTTCTCTATATTATTATATTATTTTTGAATAATACTGTACAGTGGTACCTCGTTCTGAACTTAATTCATTCTAAAAGGCTGTTCGAGTGCCGATACCGAATGAATTTGTTCCCATAAGGAATAATGTAAATTAGATTAGTCCGTTTCAAACCCCCAAAAACATACTTACAAAAGCACTTACAAAAATACTCTTATATAATTGTTTGAGTTGGGAGCTGTTCGAA